GCCCCGCTGTCCGGGCGGGGCTCCGGCGCGCCGCCCTTGCCGTCGTCCAGGGTCCCCGGCTCAAGCTGGGCGTCGGAGGGCTCCTTCAAGTTGAGTCTTGTCCTCACAGACCGCCGGGTCGTGTACGCGCAGGGGGGGTCCTCCCCCGGCGCGGGCGGCCCGCGCCCCGAGTTCTGCCTGTGCTCCCGCGCTGCGTGTCGAGTTAAGCATCCACTGGCCGCTGCGGCTGGGCCTGGTCCCTCCGGCTCCTTGTCCTTTTTCAGGGGTAAGTTTTTGTACAGGATGACCTTGGGCTCCTTCAGCACCAAGTCCCCCACTCCGAGTCTCCGCGAGGCGCTCTTCTGCTCCAGCCGCTTGCAGTGATTCCTTAGTTTTATCTTGGAGAGGAAAGGCTTGGCAGGCTTTTTCAGTGTCTTTGGTACCCTGGAATTATTTACATGAGTTAGCTTCGATGAGGTAGAGTCGGAGGGAGCTGGGAGCCGTGGCACAGACTGCCTCGTTAACGTTCTGCTCTTGCTGCTCTTTTTTACACCAACTGAAGATTTCCGGTTAGAAGCTGCAAAGTTAAAAAAAGGAAACGGGTGAGTAGCGGCCACGCCCCCGCGCGGCAGAGAAGCAGCCGGCCCACTCGCCCTCACCGCGCAGAGCCGCCACGTGGGCGCCCCGGCCCGGCCCCCGCGGCCTCCCCTCCTGGGTGGCCGAGCGCCCCCACAAAGGCCAGGTGAGCCAGCGAGTTCTGACTCTCACGATGCCGGGTCTAGCAAAACGCTGAGCTGAGATCGCTTCTGAGGTAAAGCCAGGCCGAAGCCTCCCTCGACACATTCTTAAAGTCGCCACTTCGCGGGCCGCACCGCCCTTGGTCCTGGCTGGCTCCAAGAAGCACACGACGAGGTCAGCAGCGCTGCCAGACCCGGAGGGCCCGGCCAGTCCAGCCCAGCGCGGCCGAGGCTTGCCGTGCTCTGCAGCGAGCCTCCGGCTGTCCGACGTCCGCCCACGCCCGCGTCGGCTCCCGGCCTGCCCGGTCTCTCCGTGGCGCTTGGTCACCTCTTCCCGACACCATCGTCCGAGGCAGCCCCTGGGGCGTGAGCGGGGGCTCTGCCCGTCACCGCCGCTCCCAAGGACTGGAGGCACAGAGGCAGTGGCCGAGGGTCGCCCAGCGAGCGGTCGCGGAGGGAGCGGTGGGGACGCGCCACGGCCCGGCG